GGGGACCCTGTACCAGGACCCTCACACTGCACTCTCAGGGCTTACTCACTCTATGCCACCCCCACTTCGGAGCTCCACGGCCCCACCCCCAATGCCTTTCCCACCTTGAGGAATGATCCAGCACTTGGGGGTGCTAGAGAGCAAATGTGTCCCATCCAAAGCCATATGCTGAATTCTACTCCCCAAAGTGATGGTATTTGGAAGTGGGGCCTTTGGAGATGATCAGGTGATGAGGGAGGGCCTCACAAGTGGGGTTAGTGTCCCTGTGAGACGCTCCAGAGAGCTCCCCACCACGGCCACCACAGGAGGGCACAGTGGGAGAACAGCTGTCTATGAACAGGGAGAGAGCCCTGGAATTTGCTGGCACCTTCTCAGACTCTAGGACTGAGAAATACATTTCTGTGTATGTCAGTTTATGATGCTCTGTTATCATAGACCAAATGGACAAGGTGTTCAAAAGCCAGGAGACTGTTCCCCTGAGTCCATGTGGTACAGTGTCACCTCAGCTGCCATCTGGGCGACAGTGCCCATGACCCTAACCTGGTGGACACAGCTCCTGGCCCAAGAGACATCAGAGGCAGGTAGTGGCCGGCACCGCCTGTGCGGTGAGAGGCTAAGGAAATGGAGATGGAATGATAGTGCCAAATACACACAAATCACAGGAGACCCCTGTTTGAACAGAATTGTGTCCCCCCGCTATCCACAGATTGAAGTCCTACCCCTCAATATGATTGTACTGAGAGATGCAGCCTTTGTAAAGATAATTAAGGTTAAATGAGGTCAGAAAACTGGAGCCCTAAGCTGACAAAACTGGTGGTTAGGACCAGTGTCAGAAACCTCCTCCTGCCGCCTGGACACCCCCCACACACACACCCAGGAAACACCATGTGAGGACATGTGAAGTCCCCTCTACAAGTCAGGAAGGGAACCTTCATCAGAAACCAGCAACCTAATACCTTGATCTTGCCTCCAAGTTTTCTATGCTAGAGAACATATTTTTTAAAGATTTATTTATTTATACATACAGAAATGGGGTACAGGCCAGAGATGCAGGGCGTGAGAGGATTCACCAGAGACAGAGAAGGGAGCAGAACAGGCAGATGTACTAAAATACACTGCTGAGGGGAGCTGCAGGTGGGTCAGGAGAGGTCTGCTGTGCCCTGTGGGTCAGCTCCCTGGCTGGGGATTGAACTCATGCTGTAGTGGCTGTGATAATTTCATAGTGCTGTGCTTAACCCATGGGCTACCAGGGAGGACCCTAGAAAACAGATTTCTGTTTAACCACCTGGGGTGTGGTGTTTGGTGGCGGCAGCCCGAGCAGACCAAGGCAACTTCCAGACCAAAATCCAGGCAATTCTCCCTTTCAGCCTCAGACCCACCCAGCTTTACAGGACTGGGAACAGCATATATTCACGTATTCATTCATGAATGTTCAGTAACTGTTCTGTGCCAGGCATGGTTCTTGGCCTTGTGATCATTTCATGAAGTCAGGAAAAACAAACTCCTGCTTTCCTGATGCTCCCCCCTGACAGGAAGACAGACAATAAATGAGAACATCACAGGACTAGGAAAGTGTGACAGGTGTTCTCATCCATCCCTTGGTAACAATGCCCCAAATACCAGCATCTCTTATTCCCCTCCTTCTGCAGGGTGACGGGTCAGTGGCAGCTTTTCTGCTTCATATACCCAGGCTGGGGGTGCAGTGCTTCAGAACACCCCAAGAGGGTCCCTCCCAGGACAGTGGGTGGTCCTGGCTGCAGGCTGGGAGCTCAGTGGGGCTGCTAACTACGTGGTGTTTAGCTCGGCTACTGGGTTCCAGGAGGGAGTGTCCCATGTGGATGACCACATGGGGATCTGGTGTCAGAACCTCAGCTTTGAAAAAGTGTCACTGTCCCTAAGCTCTTCACAGATCAAGGGGAGGGAGGTGGCCACACCCCTAGGTAGGAGGTGTTGGGGTCACACTGCAGAAGAGCATGTGGTGTTAATGAGCACCTATTGGGGCTCATTTCTGTTGTGTCAGAAAGTGATAGGAGAGAGAAAATCTCCTGCAGAGTAGCCGAGTGGCCAACCCACCGAGCAAGCAGATGGGAGGGGCATTGTAAACAAGTGGTCAGGGTGGGCCTCCCTGGGTGATGGTTGAGCTGAGTTGAAGCAGGAGAGACCGCATCTACAGGGGTTCGCAGGGACACCTTCCTGGGTTGCCGCTGTGTGTACCGGGCTGCCCGGGGCAGCCACCAAAGCTGCAGTGGGAACAGAGGGGCTCAGGCGGACAGAACCCTGCAGGGAACTGTGGGGTCCCCCTCCTGCTCTGGCCCTCAGAAGGCCTCCTGGACTGGGGAGGGAGAAGGCCCTCCCCTGGGAGAAAGAGGACGGAGGGGGGGGAGCTGCAGTGGGCAGTTCACTGTCTCCCTGCAGTGTGCCCAGGGTGCTGCTGACCGCCATGAGGCCCCTGAGGCTACCTGTGATGAGGGCACTTCATCTCTGATTTTCCCCCCACCCTCATAACCACCATCTAATCATGAGAAAACTTCAAACTCGAACAAGTGGCACTGCAAAAATTATCTGCCCAGTACTCGTCACAACTTTCAAGGTCATGAAAACAGGTAAAAACTTAGAAACTCAAAAGATCGATTTCCATACAGACACAACAGGGACACATATTAAAGTAGCTGGATGGGATCCTGGAATGAAAAAAAGGGGTGAAATCCAAAACCAGTCTAATGGTTTAGCTAATGGTTTAGCTAATGGTATTCTGCCAGTGTTAGTTTCTTGGCCTTAGCATAGTTTTGTTAGATATTAAGAGAAAGTGGGTGAAAGGTGGAAGGGACCTCTGTGCTAGCTTTACAACATTTCTGTAAATCTAATGTGATTCAAAAAATAACTATAGGGCCCTTCCTGGTGGCGTGGTGGGTTAAAGCATAGCACCGTGAAGCTATCCACAGACACTGCAGCATGAGTTCCATACACAGCCAAGGAGGTAATCGACATGGTGACATGGAGCGGCAGACCTCTCCTGACCCGCCCGCTGCTCCCCTCAGCAGTGTATTTCAGTGGATCTGAGTGTTCTACTCCCCACTGTCTCTGGTGAATCCTCTCAGCCCCCTCAACTCTGGCCTGTACCCCAGAGTTATTCGTAAATAAATCTTAAAAAAACAGGGCCAAGACTCTCACTTGATTAAGACTCCACTAGACATAACCTTCCACAAAGGGAAAAAGAACTAACTCAGAAATAACAAAAAGTTAAGTAAATATACATAGCAACATAAAGCTAGGTGATCAGCTTACCTATATTTATTTTCTCATTTCCATGACTGAGGTCCATAGCACATTCAATAGATTTGATTTGACCCAAATGCCAGCCCTTTCTTCGGTTCTCACAGATGAACAAAGAGAAAACCAGACTATTTTAATTCATGACTACCTGCTGTAAAGTATTGGAAGCTGGTCCATTCTTTATCATCTAAAGAAACTCAGTTGAAATGTCTCATATTCAGGAAGGATACTTTGCTATTTGTGCATCATTTAAACTGTCTTACAGAAGTTATATTTGTTTTTTAGCTAGTAGTCTTGACTTTAATTTATAAAATAACATTTATTTAGAAATTTTTAGTTTAGCTTCAACATTAGTTGTACTGGATAGTCTCATTTATCTGTTATAATGTCCAATAATTAAGACCTTAACCCATGTGTGCACTGTAATTCACATATGAATCATGCATAACCCTCTCACTAAGAAATGAGATTAAGCTTCTTTCCTCAAAAATGTTACAGGGTTCCACATGGCCCAGCAGACCTCTCCTGTCTCACCTGCTGCTCTCAGCTGTATCTCCGTAGATCCACCTGTTCTGCTCCCCACTTTGTCTCTGGTGAATCCTCTCACCCCTCTGCGTCCCTCCCCGCACCCACCACCTCTGGCCTATACCCCAGTTCTACAATAGAGTTCTATTTCCTTTGAAAAGTAGGATCTGGTATTGGGAGAACGCAGATCCTGACCTCACCTACACAGATACAGAAACGAATTGCCCTCTATACGCCCAGAATACACACACACACACACACACACAGAGGTCCTGGCCTCACAGATACAGAAACGAAGTGCCCTCTATATGCCCAGAATACACACACACACACACACACACACGCACACACACGAATTGCCAGCTGCTCCCTCCCCAGCAGTCTGGCCTTCTGAGGCACTTTTCTGATGACTCCCTTTTCCCTGACCACCCAAACTGGAACCCTCAACTCCCTTCCGCGCCACTTCTGCCCACAGCAGTGACTAAGCTCTCCAGACGCTGCAGCAGCCCACCCTGTACATACAGGCTTATACATGCAGGGTGCAGACAGGGTTTTTGTTGCAGGCCAGAGTCCGAAGGGACAAACCCTGCTTCTGCAAAGCTGGAAACCTGTGCCAGCGTCACATGCTGTCAGGAGCCAGGATACAAGTGACAAGATGCCGCCTAGGGACCAGAGAAGGCAAACACCACAACAAGCAACAACCACAAGGCCACTGTGGGCCAGCAAGCAAAGGAGAAATGGCAGAAATTGGTACTTGAGCCACGTCAGTGGTAAAGATTCCCAGTCAGGCACACCAGCCTTTGCATACCCCAGGCTTTTCCAACCAGCCATGCAGCCTTGAATAAACTGGCCCAGCAAAGCCACACACACCCCACGCACCCCACCCCCACTTGCTGACCACCACTGCTGAACAGAATTCCTCACCTACAACCCCACAACGGAATTCCCACCTTGCAGAACTAAAGGGAGCCAGATACAGCGCTAGACCCCTGGTGGGCAGGCAGCGCCAGTGCTCTAAAGCGAGCCCTGCCTGAACAGCCAGGACACTTGGGGCACAGGAGTTCCAGCATTCAGGCTGGGAGGGCGGTGGGGGCAGCAGAGCAGAGCAGGGGCCGGGCCAGGCACTGAAGCGACGCCCAGGCCTGGAGGGAACCAGTTCCTGCTGACTGCTGGGCAGCTCAGACAGACCTGCCTTGCCTGCCATGGTCCTTCCTCTGCGCTGGCTGTCCCGATGGCGCCCTCACCTCCTCCAGCCTTCCTGGCCCCTGGCACTCCAGGGATCCTGGAGGTGCTGGTCGCAGAGCCCCAACGCAACCACAAGAGAGCCACCTGACTCCACAGGGAGCGGGAAGATACGGTCACCCCCAGGGGTAAGTGGCACGACATGGGGGTGGGGGGCTGGAGGGTGTATGGGGAGCACACTTTTAATTCCTCCCTGTACCACAGCCTGCAGGTAAGTCACCCCCATGCCTGAGCTTGCTCCAACTCAATTCTTCAGCACCTCCCCCACTCCATTTTAGACCCAGGACTCCCCCCTCCCTTCCCCAAGTCCAGAGAGTCCTTGAAAAGGAATTTCCCTCAGTTAATTATTTCCCAGGGGGAGGTACACCCTGTCCTCCCCTTCCTATGACCCAGATTCCTGTACTAGCTTTACAGCCCCCAGGCCAGATACTTAACTGCCTCCTATGTCCAAGCAGCACAGATGACCTTAAAACAGGCAGAAAACTGGGGAGAGGCAATTCCGACCTTCAGAGCCTCTGGCCCTGGCCCCACCTGGCTGATGCACCCTCCCTATGCCCATCCAGGGTCCCCAGCCCCACCCCACAGCTGAGCTGGCCCAGGCTGAGGAGCTGCTGGAGCAGCAGCTGGAGCTGTACCAGGCCATGCTGGAGGGGCAAGAAGGGGCCTGGGAAGCCCAGGCCCTGGTGCTCAAAATCCAGAAGCTGAAGCAACAGATGAGGAGACACCGTGAGAGCCTGCGAGATGATGCCTGATCTTCTCAAGTTTCCATTTCACCCTCCAACATGAAGTATTATGCATCTGGGCATCCCCCAAGCCACTAAGGACAACAGAAGACACCTCCAGAGGGCAAAGGCCTGGGTAGTCAGGAGCCATGGCCTCCAGTCTTTTCAGCCACACACCACCCCCCCCGCCCCTGATCCTGCAACCACGGCTCCCAAGTGGGGCGTACCACCCCTACAGGAATATACCCTGATCACGCCCTTAATCACCTCACCCCAAAGCCAATAAAGGGACGAGGCGCTTACAGATACCACAGACACATGTGTTTTTTAGTTTTGTTAAAAAAAAGTTTTGACAAATCAGGAAATGAGGGCTTGGGAGTGGTGGTGATGCAAAAGAGGGAAGCCAAAGGTGGGGCAGTGGGGGTTGGGGGCCTTCAGGGATAGGTGGCAGTAGTGTCTCCTTCATCCCCATGCCTGGTGTCCTCTATGAAGAGGGACGGACGGTCACACTCCAGAATGGGTGGGCGAGTCCTCTACCGCGTCTGTTCAACTGAAGAGAAAACACGGCAGGGTTAGGTGAGACACGGGAAAGGAGGCTGCAGAAACACTTGCCCACACCTGCAGGTGTGTGTGCAATGTTCAAGATTTGGGGGTGGGGAAAGAAATCATGTGGCAAGAGTAAGAGACCCCACAAAGAGGGGGAGGCTGGCGAGCCCAGGTGTCTGTTATGTATACAAGATGGAGACGAACACGCCAAGGGACAAGCAGAATTGGGGGGGGGGCCCTAGCCTCACGCCCCGATACTTACTGTAGGAGGAGATGTCTATCTCATCAGGCAGCTCACTAATATTGACCTCAAAGCGATCCTGCACATCATTGAGGATCTTGGCATCATTTTCATCTGACACGAAGGTAATGGCCAAGCCTTTGGTGCCAAACCGGCCAGCTCTGGCCACCTGCAGGAGACAGGGTGGGGATGAAGACGCCAAAGGGAAGCGTCCCAAAGGCACAGGGAGGAAAACTAAGCATGAGCATTTACACAGGAGAGGGTGGGAGGACGCCTACAGCGTCTGCCTGGGCATGGGACTCACCCGATGCAGGTAGGTGTCGGAATCCTCAGGCATGTCATAATTGAAAGCAATGTTCACCCGCTCGATGTCCATGCCTCGGCCGAACAAGTTGGTGGCCACAAGAATTCGTCGCTGAAAATCTTTAAACTGCTGATACCGAGAAAGCCTTTATGGTAAAGGAAATTAGACAAATGTAAGCGATCCCCCTTCTCTCAATGGTGTTTCCCCGCCAAGGACACAGATACCTACCCTCCCTGACTCACCTCTCCTCCTGGGGCATCCCGCGGTGGATGGCAATGGCTGGGAAGTTCTGCTCCACCAGGAGCTGGGCCAGGGCAATGCAGCGCTGCACAGACTTCACAAAGATCACCACCTGTGTGTGTGTGTGTGTGTGTGTGCATGTGTGCAACAGTGGCCGGAATGTGGGTCCACGAAAGTGTATGAGAAAAATTAGGAGAAGGGAGTTTTCAATAATCACACTCTCTAAAGAAATCTCTCTTAACCTCGATTATGTATTTCTTCTCCTCTTTAAAAATTAATACAACCTTTCTCTCTCACTGACAGTTTCCCAAGCAGTTATGATGCACAGGTATAACCAAAACAGTAACCAAAAGAATTATCAAATACATTAGGAGACAAAAATTAATCTACCTCATGAAAAAATAGCAAACAGTAGTCAATTTTACAGTATTCCCAAACATCAAAACATCACATATAAACAACATATTCTAGAAAACAGGTTTTAGTGCAAATAAACCATTCAAAAGTCAAAGTGATCAAATGCTGCTTCTTGGTGTCAAAGAAAAAAGAATTTCCAGAACCTATTCCTTAGCTGATGGAAATATAAAATTGTGTAGCTGCTTTGAAAAAGTCTCACAGTTCCTCAAAAGATTAATTCCATTCTAACAGATAGACCCAACAGAAATAAAAACGTGTGACCACAGAAAAACGTATACAAATGTTCAGAGCACTTCACAACAGCAGGTTAAGTAGAAACTATCTACAAACTAATGAACTGAGTAAGTAAGTAAATCTGGCATTTATCCATACAACAAAACATTGATTGGCTTTGAAAACTGATTTACTAAATACACATAATTGGTCAACAAACCTTGAAAACATTATGTCAAGTGAAACCAGCCAGTCACAAAGCCCACATATTCCAGGATTTCATTTCATTTATATGGAATGTCCAGGCAAATCCAGAGACAAATCTTATGGTGGTTGCCCAGGGCTGGAAAAGCTGAAGGGTGACTGCTACTGGGCAGTCTCTTTGGGAGGTGTGAGTGTCCTAAGTGATTATTGTTGACAGCTGCACAGTATACTAGAACCACAGAATTTCACACTTTAAATGGTTGATTTGTATGTCTGCAAATTTAATCTTTAATGAAATCATCATTAAAAATGAAAGGGCAAGGGGAAAAAAGAACCTAACAGATCTAAGATACATGAGTTTTGAATTTAAGAACCTTCAAGGATTTGAACTCATTTTTAATTACCTGTGTCAGCCAGGTAACGCAGTTCCCAGCCTGTTCATGCTCCCCCAAGAGACTGATCTGACATCCTTGGTTTGAAATTATTTCACTTAAAGGATTTCTTCACTCCTCTCACATCACATTATGTGGTTTCACTTAAAAAAGGGAATGTCTATGTAGGTTTCTGCTACAGTTGAAGACACACTCACTCCTGTTTTGGACCTTGAACTGACCTGGTTGAACTCAAGGACATCCAGAAGGTCAAAGAGCTTCCGGTTCTTCTCGTTGTCCTTCAGTTTCACGTAGTACTGCTGCAACCCGTGCAGCGTCAGCTTCGTCTCATCATCCACGAAGATCTCCATTGGCTGGGGGGGAGGGGGGAGGAAGGGGGTGGGGAACGGGAGGAGGGCAGAGTGGGGGGGTTAAACCTGGGGGGGTGGAGGAAGTTGATCTCCAATACACCCCATGGGGGGATGGGGAGAAGAGAAATTTGAAAACCCCACCCCATCCCCCAAAAACACCCACAATTTAATGTGGTCTCTTCCACCTCAGATCTAATCCTTCCTATCAGTTGCGCTTTAAAGACTGCCCAACTGAAAACTGTCATGGAAAAGGATGTTTGCAGACAGGATGAGGAGCAGTGAAACCACCCAACAGCAAGATGTCTTTACTGCAAATGGAGGTGGTGCAGGACCAAAATAACAGGTGACTTTTCTCAGAGGGAGCACATGAGCCAACATTTGAAAAATGGTAACTCGAGATCAGAGGAACTCCACCAGAAATGATTATAATATGGGGGAGAGGACAAGGACTGCTCCACAATGGTTCTCGGGACTAGGAGAATCAGATTCATGTTAGGAAGGTTCATGTCATTAAGGTCAGAATGCAATGGACCTTAAAGGAGAGCAAAAGACTACTCAAGTGAGTAATAACTTGCCCTCAGACCACAAGGAAATATTTCTGGATCAGTCTCTGTCCTAAGTCAAGCCAGCTACAATGTTACAAAGAAAGTATTAAGTGGTGCTAAGAAACAAATAACACAGCAGCAAACATGTATTCAGCTCTTAAAAACAAACAAAAAAAAATCCCACAAAACCCTTGAAGGGGAGGAAGGTAGCATTAAAAAAAAAAAAAAAATCAACATTAAGACTCAACTCCAGAGTCCAAACTTCCAGCACTCGTCACTAATTTGAGCACATAGTTAACGTGAGCTCCAAGGTCCAGGACTGTGCCTGTGTTGTGTGTGATGGAAGAAAACCAGCTCAACCCCAGAAGGGGGCTAGCAAAGGCTTTCCAAAGAGAAGTTCCACGGCCTCCTTCACATCTAACTCAGCCCCAACTACAGCCAAAGATAAGACTCATCACCCCAGAGAACAGAGCGAGGAGGGAAAGAACACACTCCCACTGTTTCTCTGTGGGCCCCGTCTGCCTCCAACCCCAAGAGCCACCTGGGTATCCCAAGTGGAGCGCCTCACTTTACCGATGCCATATCCCTCTCTTCTAAGTATTAAAAAAATGCTTGAAAAAAGAAAAAAATCTACCACCCCAATCAGGACACCCCTCCCCCCAACACATATCAGGGGAAAACAGGGAGCACGGCACGCCTTGGGTTCAGGAAAAAAACCGGGAACGGAAAAAGAGGCTGGCTGGGTCCTCAGCTTCCTGGTCAGGTTCCCCGCGGCCTCCGCTGCCGCCATCCACCGCCGGTGCCGTCCGCATTCCCCCGCCGCGCCACGGTGCTTCTCTGCCGCCGGCTCTCATCAACCGAGGTTTCCAGGTGGGTGCGAGGAGGTACGATGGGAAGGAGTAGGGGATGGGGCTGAGGTGCCAGAGGCCCCCACCCCTGGAGGTGGGGAGGGAGTGGATTCCCGTGCGCTGCTTGCTCTTCTTTTGGACATGCCCTGCCATCTGTCTGTCCCTCTCTTGCTCTCCTGCCACCGGGAGGTTCTGAGTTTTGGGGCACAAAGGCTCCAGTTGTATGCTTGATGCCACCTTGAGGGTGCGTGACTGTAGGGGGTATGTAGGAGACAATGGGTGGGTGGTAGGGCAGAAAATCCTGCCCTCCCCCAAAGAGAAGAGGTTCAAAAATGCCGTGATTTAAAAAAAAAAGTCGAACACTACCCGCTCTCACGTTAACCCGACCAAGTCTTCCGGAGTTTCCCTGGCGCCCGCGCAGACCCTGACGCTAACTGTCTCTGCCTCTGGGTGTCTCTTCAAGGAGTCATTGCTCTCTGATGGGCACATGCCCCCTTCTTGGAGCTTGAAGGACAAGGGAGTCTGGAGGAAGAGGGCGCGGCAGGGGAGGAGGCAGCGGGCGGGGAGTGGAGGGAGAGAAGGTAGAAGGGTATTTACGTCTTGCATGAACTTGCGGCAGACTGGACGGATCTCTTTGCTCAAGGTGGCACTGAACATCATGACCTGCTTCTCATGGGGGGTCATGCGAAAAATTTCCTGGACATCCCGACGCATGTCTACAGGAAAATGA